ATATGTGTGTCCATGGCACCCGCGACACAGGGTTTCCCTAGTGCGGGGCTATGTTGAGTGTGTGCGTTATTTATTATTATATAAAGAAAAAACGCTGACAAATTAATTATTACAATAAATATAATAATAATAGGATAATATAATAGGATAACAACTCGCTTCTCTGGTTTGTCACATATATTAAATATAAAGGAAACGAATTCTGACACACATCTTCTCCATGACCTCGGCGTCCCAGTGGTATTGTTCTAATGGTACACTGTGGACGCTATACCAGAAAGTCGCGGGTTCGATTCTCGGTAAGGCCAATTTGGGGAAATGAACTTCCTAAATTGGGTTCTTGTTTTCGCGATTGTTACATACATACCATTTACCTTTACGTAGTGTGGTTAGCTTTAATATTGGACATAACTGGTAGATGCCTTTACCATCTCAGTCAGCCGTTGACCATTTAGTTTAGCAGTGGAGCTCCTTGTGAAAGAGTTCGTCCAGGAGAGTACTGCCATTTTATCTATTTTTGCCGCCAAGTAGTAATGTGAACATTACTGCGTTTCCGTTTTAAGTGTATGGGAGCTGGTGAAATTACAGGCATATGGGACTGTCAACTTGTGTCTCAGAGTGACGGGCGCAGTGGCGGTGTCCTTCAGACCTTTGCGATTTAAAGCTTTAATTGGCGTTGCAATTGCGATGGACAGGCGTGTCGCTTACCACCAGGGGCACGACTTGTTCTTGTTCAGTGATGGGGCATCACTGGGTATCATAAAAATAAGGACTTGTAAAGGGTTCGAAACGTTGGTTCGTTTGAAGAAACAAATATTTAGGTTCGAAAAAAACACTTTCACTTCCAATATTCTGAATTGACGATGGAGCATGCACACCTAAATAAAGCCTGTTCACTCTCGTCTTGAAAAGGTCTCAGTTATAAAGTTCAGGGAACAAATCTGCAGGCTGGGAATTCCACTCCATAGCCGTTCGCCATATAAATGTGGAATCCGGTCGGGGTGTTCTGGATAGTCGTACCCTGGAGTGACCTTCGTGGTTGTTGTACTCCTAGTACAATTTACGCGATGATTGCGAATCGGCGGTACTTGAAAAATCTTCTGTTTAACTTTATTATCTGGGTCTTATAAACGAAGTTTATTATTGTACAATAAATATTACATAAAACAAAATAAATACTCTTATATCTAAGAAGGTCAGTATGTCATGATAAGGGACATGTGCCAAGCCCGTCGACTTTGTTACAAGTCATGGCATTTCATCAAGTAAGTATATGTAGGGAATCTTCCCGTTGAAATTATGTTTTTTTTTTTATAATATCAAGTGACGGGACGAACAAGTCGTGCGCCTGATGGTAACGACTGTCCATAACAGGTGCAGTGGTACTCAGAGCTGTAAATCGCAAAGATCTGAGGGGCACTGCCACTGCACTCGTCTCCTTGAGACATAAGTGGACAAGTCCCATGTGCCTGTAATTTCACCAATTTACCCTTTAAAACCGAAACGCAGAACGGCAGAAATAGGTAAGGTGGCAACTTCCCTGGAGGAACTATTTCACAAGGAGATCTACTGCTACTGAATTACTACAGGTTTACATTTAAAATTCGAAAAGTGATTGATTTTGAATATGCGTTTTATTGTGCCTTTATAAGAGACCGACTTAGCCCTCGTCCTCACGGTATTGCATTGCACGTTTTTTTGCAGTATTTGATAAACATATTTAGCGGTGCACGTTTTTCTGCAGTACAAACGACGTGTGAACTGTTATAATGTATGCGCCACTGCTTATTCGGGTCGGATATATATTGCACAAAAACATTCAGTGCAATGCCGTGTGAAAGGGGGTTAAATGTAATGACTGATGACTCCCTCATTCGTTCTTTTTTTTTTAAGTTTGGGGCCTGGTCTCGTGAATGCATACACTTCAAGCCTTATCCCATCAGGCAGAAACCGCTGTCTTGAACTTGCTACGATTTTAACACACATCTTATCTCATAAACAAATATTAAAACAAACTACTTGTTTAAAACGTTGTTTTTGTGTGTTAATAACGAGTGAGAATCTTTTTATTATGCGAGTTACGCATGACTTTCAAAAATTAAAACAAAGTATTTTCCAGAACATAAACACGTTCATTGAGTTGAAAAAGTAGGTTCTATTATATTTTAAGTATAATAGAACATTTATTTCATATTATCAGTGTCTCAATTTACGATTTAAAATATAATTTCAAGGGGTGGTTTGCATTAACATTAGACATAACTGGTTGATGACTTTACCATCTCACTCAGCCGTGACTATGGTACATTATATATGTATAGGCTTGCTATTTGGATCCGAATAATTATAACTTTTTTCAAAAAAAAAACCGACCATATATCAAAACTTTGTGGAATTGCATCTATTTGTCAAGTTTCATAGAAAACGGAAAGTGGAAACTGGATTCATCCTTAATTTGCCATTCTTAGAGCTGGAATATTTTCTTCAAATTTGAATGGACCACTAATGGGACATCCCCTTTCCAACAAAAAAGAGTCATCGAAATCGATTTACATATATCGGAGTAATCACGTGACATACACACAACAAAATACAGTCAAATTCAGAACCTCTTCCTTCTACAAAAATGAACGACTACAAGTGCGCATAAATGAATCTATTATATCGGAGTAATCACGTGACATACACACAACAAAATACAGTCAAATTCAGAACCTCTTCCTTCTACAAAAATGAACGACTACAAGTGCGCATAAATGAATCTATTATTCTAGTATTATGTTCTTCCGTTGCGTACGTAATTTTCCGGTTTGTATAGGAAATAGAACATGAAGTACACTACGCTTGATAATATTTTTTTTATAACATATATCGTTACACTATAGCATTATGCTAACGGGAAATAACAACTGACCAAATCGAGACCTTGGATGACACGAAAATCACGGATTCAGTATCTAACGATATAATATGTGATGGGAAAAATCTCCCGAAAAAATAACACTTATTTGTAAATCAATGCTTATTTGACAGAAAATGTTTACAATTTTTTATTTACCACGGTCCCCACACTAGGCAAGCGTAAATCTTGTAGTCCCAGACATACAGTTTACATAATGAAAATTGTAGTCTCTAGAAAGAAGCAGTAGAGCTCTTGTGAAGGAGTTCGTCCAGAGAAATACTGCCACCTTATCTATTTCTGCCGCCAAGCTGTAATGTGACCATTTTGAACAGGTTTTGTGGCGGTTTTGAACAGGTTGCTAGTGAATTTACAGGCACATGCGACTTGTCAACTTATGTTTCAGAGTGACAGACGCAGTGGCAGTGCCCGTCAGATATTTGTGGTTTAAAGCACTGAGTGACACTGCAACTCTTATGCACAGACATATCGTTTACCACCTGTCGCACGACTTGTTTGTCATTTGGTATCATAAAGAAATAATAATCTTCCGAAAAATTATTATTTGATAGGAAATATTTAATTTTACCGTCCCCATACTAGGAAAGCGTAATTCGTGGAAAATTTTAGCCTCTAAAAATAACAGAAATAATTATAATAATGTGATAAGTAGGAATGCAATTTAAGTATTGTGAACATTATATGTGATGTTATAAATTAATAAAATGAAATACTACTGCTACATGCAGTTAATCGAGCTCCATATTCGAGTAATTTTCACGTTAGTTTTATCTACCCAATTTCGCCGGCAATTTTTATTACTTAAGCAATTATTTGTATTTATCTTAGTGAAATTACAGGCACATGGGACTTGTCAACATATGTCTCAGTGTGACGGGTGCTGTGGCAGTGCCCTTCAGATCTTTGCGATTTGAAGCTCAGAGTGGCACTGCAACTGTTATTTACAGGCGTGTAGCTTACTATCAGGCGCACGTTTTCGTCCCGCCACTTGATATTGTAAAAAAAGCATTTGAGTACATTATCGTGAAATATTAAATAATATTTCAGGTTAATACACTCGAACATTAAATAATGTTTCATGATAAAATTCTCGAATATTTAAATAGTAAAAATGGCCACTGAAATTAACATATAGAGAAAATTTACCTGAAAAATTTTTCTAAATTTTTCAGGTAATTTTTTTTTAAATTACCCGTTTTGCTTCATAGCGCTATGTATACGGTCTAACTTTGTCGAAGGTATGAAATTGTTTTCCTGTAGAGACCTATACATATACATATAGACCTATATATATCCACTGGGGCAAAGTTTATATAATATATGCATAGTGAGTTCAGTCACAGCCTTCTCCACCTACGGTGACATTTTTTTCTAAAACTAATGGTATATTGTGTTGTAACTTGATTTGAATATAAAATTAATTCGATGCCCACACGCATCCTAATGACCTGTTCACTGATAATTTTTATTTGCATATTTCTTGTAGGTATATACGTCAGCTTGTGTTAATATAATTAATATGTTTATTTATGTTAAAATAGAGCTCTCAAGTTTTACGATTACGATTAAATACCGTTGCTAAAGTCGTCATTATCGTCAAGGGAAGGTTAAAATCATTTACCACCATTTTTTTTTAAGAAACCGATCAAGTATGTTTCCACTTTTTCATATTCTATATCTATACGGATAATATAATAACATTCCTAAATTTCAAAATATTGTAAACAGTAAAACATCCTCTATTATTTTCTCTAAATATAATTTGCAGTGCCCTACAGGGTTCGCAACGTGCTGTTAACTTAGCTATAAGCCTTTTCCATCCTATGTAACATTATGGTAAATGCAATAAAGAATTGTATAGATAATGATAAAATGTTTACCGCCAAGAAAATATGTCCCCGCGTTTGTTTACAGTTAAGAGGTTATAACCAATTCAAGATTTACAGTGACTAAACTTTTATATATAAAAATAGAATTACACTTTGAATAAACAAAATCTCGACCCACTTGTTTTTTAAACATTTACAAACGTGTTCAATAACACCGATATTGAATTTGGGTTTACAAAAACTCCACTTACTTTTCCAAAACATCGCGAACGCCAACAATAACATTTCCAAATCCATTGTGATGAAACAGACACCACTTAAAATTCCCCGCAAACAACCAAATTGTATTTTAATTCAAGAAAATTATCTAAATAAAATCACATGTAGCCGGATATGTTAATAAGTTATGTATAGCAACATGTTCGCCCTTTTAACGCCGCTGCACGACTGCAATCCACAAGTGTAATCCTGAGGCATGAATCACAGAAAGGACGCCCAGTAGCAAAACAGGACATGTCCAAATCTTGACGCTTTTCGTACTCTAGAAGAATAACGCTTATTCACGCAGTGAATGCGCGCGGCGGCGCCAACGCGAGACTGGCGACTAGACATTCAACGGTCGAATGTTGATATTTTTGTTTTAACCACGCGCAGATTTATTTTGATATTTGCAACAGGTAGCAACGATTGCTTAGATTCAATCCGCTAAATTGCTTTTAAGAGAGTGGAAAAATGAAAATAAATGTTTGTTTTGTTTTCTTAAAGTTCATGTAACTCCTACTTACTGTTAACTCCTTTCTTTAAAAGGTACGCTACGCTTTTTTTTTATAATATCAAGTGACGAGACTAACAAATCGTGCGTCTCATAGTAAACGATACCCCTTTCCTTAACCAGTTGCAGTGCCACTTAGAGCTTTTAATCGCAAAGATCTTATGGGCACTGCCACTGTGCCCGTCATCCTGAGACAAGTCCCATGTGCCTGTAATTTCACCAGCACCCTTACCCGTCCGAACCGGAACGCAGTAATTCTCACATTATTGCTTGGCGGCAGAAATAGGTAAGATGGCAGTACTTCTCTGGACTCTTTCACAAGTAGCTCTACTGCTACTAAAACGCTGCTTATAATTGTTTATTTTTTCGTACAATTCAGTATATGGTCTGTTTTCTATTAACATCAAAATGTGTACAGTTAAAATTTGTTTTTGTAGAATATTTATGTTGTCGCCATGTGACGCATTTCATTTCTTTGTATTTCGGCATTGACACTTTATCGGCGTAGTAACCTTCGCTGTACTGTAATTTATATTCTTACGTAAATTTTAAAAGCAGTTTTGAATATGCAAAAAGGATAACGACTTCGATAAACAAATACATTTTACGATTGCTTTTTTGTTTTTTCTTTTGTTGTTGTTACTTTTTCCAACTAAACTTTACCTTATGGTAAACTATACAGTTTTTTTGGTTAGTAACTCTGAGTGGCACTGCAGGTTATGGCCAGGCGTGTAGCTTACCACCAGGCACATGACTTGTACGTCTAGTCACTTGATATTATATTAAAAAAAAAATAACACCACGGTATGAATAACAATACAGTGATATATTATCATCACGTACTGTTCTAACAGTACGAACTTTCTCCGGCCAATTTAAATTAAATTTACGAGTTATATCCTTTTATATCGCTCGACACGATTCGCGGTTGTGAAATATTCCAACTATCGAAGTACGAAGTCAGTGGCACATCCTTTGTGGGCAGGAGATAAAAATGTTTTCATCTGGCGATTTGTGTGAGTCATCACTTCAGTTACTGACCTGTTGTAAATTTACTTATTTTCATCAATGTGAAAGATTTTTTCATAAATTGTGACAAATTTGACGTATCACATTATAAGGCTCAATTTACGTTGCCTCAGAACGGAATGGAAGCGAATTTTTGTAACTAAAGTAGTACATCGTATAATGACTTAACGTCAATTATGTAATGTACAAACTAGAGCCAAAAAACAGGTCTCACGTCCTACGGATAATTCTCTCTCCGAGAAATTCTCACAGCTATCGTCTCATATTTAGTTTGTACGTAACACACTTGACATTAAGTTCATTATGCTATATACAAAATAAAAATTACTTCCATTCAATTCAGTGGCAATGTAAATTGAGTCTAATGCATTATCATTTTGTTGAAAGTGGTACACGCCATATTCCTTACACAGAAAAGCAACTGCCTGCTACTAGAAATTCTTTTCGATGTACCTGTATAATTAGTTGCTCACATACACGGTAGTTAAAAGACGGCAAAATAATTAAAGCTAAAACTAACGCGTACTTACTGAGCGAGAACTGTGACAACAACGTTCGTTTACCCTTATCGATTTATATGAGCAAAACGGGAGTGTCGCCTAGCGTGCTATTTACTTAATGGCAGGCGCCTGTCTGCCGCTGGGTTTAGCATCGTGAACTCGAAGGGAGTCACCACACTTAACGACACAGAATCCCAAAAAAAAGCCGGTCAGAATATTTAAAAGCTTTATGTCCATGTAATAAGGATGAAACAGATGTGTGTTTCGAGTCGGCGCGCGCAAACACGCAAAAACTTATTGCATGGATATATAGTTTTTGTTAGTGCTGTGACTCTCTGAGGCTATTCGTCCTACCACGTGATCAGCCAGAGATATGTTTGATCAACCAAAGGGAATTCATTTGACCAGGGTTCGAAGTGACAATTATCATTATAATTACCACCAGAATAAAAGAAAATGATACCGCTACCAATGCCGTGTCAGGTGTATCAGAGACGTATCCAAACGTGTCAACAATTATTATATATAAATTGATCTAAAAAAACTCGCAAACCAAATCAAAAAGGTTTGTGAATTTTTTCTGATTTTTCTTCCAAAAATGTTTCTTAGTGTATATTTCGTTTTCTCATTGTTTGTCATTTTTAGTGTAAATTAAACACTCAATCACACTAATTAAAGACACTGTGAATCAGCGTGGATTATTATCGTGATAATTATCACATCATTGTGATAATAGTTATATTAGTTATCCAAGAAAATATATATCTTGATACTTGTGAACCCTAGTTTTGACGGCGGCGCGGCGTGGAGATGCTTGCTGAAACACAACTTTTCTCCACTCCTCTTTAGTTGGTCAAGGATCTAAGACGACTACATACGGCGCACTATAAGTTTCCGGAACTGCCCACTTACATAAACAAAATTTAAAAAGTAATTACAACATTTGAAAATGGAACTCTTTGGCTGTGGAATACAGTTTGTTTTATGGGACTGTCACTTGTTTTTACATTGTGGCGTTATTTTAGAAATCAAAGACATGGGTTGTGAAAATTCGTGAAAATTTTTGTAGTATGATTTTCTACGACTTAAGTGTAATTTAACAGCTCTGTGGAGCTTCACTCGGCTTCAAACTGCTTTTGGGATAAAGCACTATGCAAGACGATTATTTATAGCTGGTTTGCAGAATTCAAACGCGGTCGTGTGAATCTCAGTGACGAATTTCGTGATGGTCGCCCGTCCACTGCTGTGAACAACAAATGATCAAAACAGACAGGCATGTGACATACCATGAGATTCGGGAATCTCTAGGCATAGGCATGAGTCAAATACAATCAATACTACACAAACATTTGAGTGTGAAAAAGCTGCGCTCTCGGTGGATCACACACAATTTGACTGAGGCCCAAAAAACGGATCGGGTCTCTTGGTGCAATGCCATGATTACCAGATTCAACGAAGGGGCGTCCAATTTGGTTTGGAACATAGCAATAGGGGACGAAACATGGATTTATAGTTACGATCCCAAAACAAAGTAGCAATCGAGGGTATGGGTCTTTCGAGATGAGCCGAAATCAACCAAAATGGCGCGCGTGTCAAGTGCCTCTAAGCTGATGATTGCTTCTTTTTTTAATAAAACTGGACACGTGGCTACTGTTGCTTTGGAGAATCATTGTACCATGAATAGTGATTGACAAACTCCGTAAAAATAGCCGTAAACGCCGTATCATCTTGCACCACGATAATGCCAGTTCTCACACGGCTAGACAGACAAATGAATTTTTGAAGGTGAACAACGTTGACCTTATGAGCCATCTCGCATACAGTCCCGACCTGGCACCTTGTGACTTTTATTTATTTCCAAAAATTAAGAACCAGTTACGCGGTCAACGATTTTCATCTTAAGAGGCTGTCGAAGAGTATGAAACATATATTTTTGAGATTGTCACGGAGGAGTGGCATAAATGTTTGCAAAATTTGTTCATTCGTATTAAAAAGTGCAGTAACGCTAACGGAGAATATTTTGAGAAACACTAAATTCATTTCTGACCATAGTATTTTTTTCTAATTTATTCCGGAAACTTATAGCGCGCCTCACGTATATGGCGCTCGTGTAGGCGATCTATTATATCAATTGATATATAATTTTGTCTAGCTGTATAAGAAGTAATTTGTTTTATTGTTATGTCAGTCTCTTAAATTTCCCATGGTTGTTTTATGCAATAAAGCTTATATACATCGTGTTCCATGGCTATGCGACACGAAGGGAAAGTATTTTAAATGTTATCGATAGCATTGACATTGTAGACAGGATGTTTAGCTTCATGGAGACATTATTTTATTTTTAAAAGTAACTAATACTACATTCAAAGATATTTGCCATGTAAGAAAAGTTGCTTGCCTCATCAGGGAATCGAACCGACCAAATGTGAAAAATAATCCTGTACTTTAATGACGCCCATCGGAAGGGTCAATTCTAAGTGGTAATTTTAAAGTAATACAATAACATAATTCCAATATGTTTCATAACGTAAATCCTGGTCAAACCCCACTTCACCCCAATTTGACAACCTTGTTGACTCAGCGATTAGAACTGTCGAAGGCTTCGGTGGTCGAGTGGCTTGGACACCGGTTTTCATGGCGTCGCCATCTCTGAGGTCCCGGGTTCGATCCCCGGCCGGGTCAGTGTAGAAACTTTTCTATATTGTTTCGGGTGTGGGTGTTTGTGGTACCGTCTTTGTTTCCGATTTCCATAACACAAGTGCTTTAGCTACTTACTTTGGAATTAGAGGAACGTATGTGATTTTGTCTAATATTTATTCATATTAGAAACTGTAGGCGACGACGACGCCCCGGGTTCGGTTTCCGGTAGGATTGATTAAGGATACAAATTTTGAAATAAATTGGTATCCTTGGTAGTGGCCAGGAATTTATTTTGTTACTCTGGTACTCTTAGAACAGAGAATTTTCCAGTCTGATAAGGTAATTGGTAAGTTAGTTAGTAGCAGTAGAGCTCCTTGTGAAAGAGTTCGTCTAGGGAAGTACTGCCCTGCCACCTTACCTATTTCTTCCGCCAAGCAGTACTGTGTTCTGGTTTAGAAGGGTAAAGGTGCTGGTGAAGTTACAGGCATATGAGATTTGTCAATTTATAACTCAGGGCGACGGGCGCAGTGACAGTGCCCCCTAAACCTTTGCGATTTAATGCTCTGAGTGGCACTGCAACTATTATGGATAGGCACGTCGCTAACCACCAGGCGCAAGGCTTGTACGTCCCTTCATTTGGTATTATAAAAAAAATTGGTGTGGTTGTTTAGCACTTTATTACAGTATTAATTCGAGTTCGTTTTTTAATTTCATATTGACACGTGATTTACATATACACTTCTTTGCTTGCAATATATACTATTTTTATTGCACGTCATAATTTTTTTACCACTTTGATATTTAAGCCACTAAAAAAGTATTTTTTTGTAAAAATACTCCATTAGTTGGTTATTACTGTTGATACAAAGGTCGAACAAACAAAGAAAAATCTCCTCGACTCCTCCTCTGCCAACTGAGTTACGGATCGAGGCAGCAGGCTTTACGAATTTCTCTATGTGCTCGTTGCCGATCTTTTTTATTGGGTTTTTAAGCGCCTTTTTTGCCATTGCGCCTTTTCTTCATGCTTGTGTTGCTTACTTCACGCTTGTATTGCTTATGTAGAATGTAAAATAAAATACGAAACACACTGGCATTCAAGTAATATTTATTTTTAATTTAATAAAGCTTAGTATTGTTTACAATACTTGCAAGTAGACTAGCAGTTCCCTTGAGTCTAATCCCATTATGCTCTCTCTACTTCTTGGTTCACGGAACCTTTTCTGTAAAGCTAATAATAATAAATAATAAAGACAATCTATTAGGCCGTACTCTTTGATATTAAAACAGGGTTCGAAATTATTAAGACGTTTATTTACTTTGATAATTATACGATATGTATCCGATAATTATCCATGCTTATTCAGAGTTTTGTTTATTTAATTTTTGACTTAAAATGATAAACAGCGAGAAAAGTAAATGAACACGACGAAATATTTTTAGGAAAATTATTTGGTTTGTGATTTTTTAACCGACTTTTGTTTTTTTATGTATGTTGCACGATAACTCGATACCACGATATCATTTGTGAACCGATTTTAACGATTCTTTTTTGTTGAAAAGAGGCTACCTCAGGAGTGGTCCCATTTAAATTAGAAAAAAATATTCCACCTCTAAGAGCGGCAAAGTAGGAGATGAATGACTTTTGAGGTTGGTTTTTTTAGTACTCTGTACTGAGATTATTCGACATTGACATTTGACACGTCTCTGATACAAACACATGGCGTGCAATAGCATTAGCTAGCTGAAATAGCAATTTGTTGTTCCAGTTAATTTTATTCGTATTAATTTAATTATCAAGGTATATTTTTCAAGATAATTATAAATAAATAAATATTATACAACATCACATAGGTTGCTCTCATCCCAAAGTAAATAAATGAAGCACTTGTGTTATGGAAATCGGTGACAACGACGATGCCATAAACACCCAGACCCAGAGACAATATAGAAAAGTTAATTTTCATAGAGGTTGTCATTGGCATGATAATTGTTTTGTCGAACCCTGTATTAAAGCAAGCAAGAGTATTAAGGAAATTACGAAAACAACATATTTGTCAAACAATTTTGTGACTAATACTTTTGATTCTGTTCCTGTTACAGTACATACTCTCCACAGACCACATTCTTGCCCTATCCCCTTTCTATACGAAAATCTTAGCACCTTAGTAATGACGTTTAATATCGTAAACAATATATACAATTACACATAAACAAAGTTATAGGCTATATAGTTATATCTACATTAAAGTATATTAATGTAAAACATTTATAAATTTGGTCCCTTTATAGTACATAATCATATCACATTATATATCGCAATCACGCTGTACAGTTTTCAACTTACAAAGGTGAGTTGACGATAAAAACGTTAACTCATATGCTGGGATCGGAATTAAGGCAGATAAGTTACCAAAAGTTTGAACGTTTTCTTAGTATGGACACACCCATTTCGTGACGACCAAAAAAAATTTCCGATATTCATATTACCATATCAACGCATATGAAATTAGGCGACGAGTAAAATTAATAAAAGTATATTCAGTTTTATTTATATGTATAGATTCATTATAGTAATTACGATGTATAACTACACACGGACTTACTAAAGTATATTGTTCTCTCAAAGAAGAAATCAAATTGTCAAACAATAGAAACCGCCAATATTTGATAACGGCTATGGTTTCTATGTTTGTCTTGTCTTGTTTTCGTTCTGTGTGAAAGAGGCAGCAGTTACTTCTTTCTGAAGCGAAATATAGCGCCCTTGTAAAATCTTTTACTATACAAAGCGCTCTTGTAAAATCTTTTACTGAGTAAGTACGCAGGCAGGTAGTATAAACACACAACTATAATATTATTTTTTGAAACCATCATTTGTAGAAAATTTCATTAAATAATACGCATATTCAAATATAATCATTTCCGAGATGTTCTGGGATTTGTAGAAGGGAATGCCCACATTATTATTTACGTAACTGAAATTTTAGGTTATTTAACTCCGTCAATTCCGATCACTGCTCGTAATTAAGACCTTTGTTTGTTTCTGTGTCTTCGTGATTGCTATACTTTTTAAAAGAAACAATTTTTTCGGTTCTAAAAACGCTATGGTTTTCTTTTTTTCAAACAAATCAACGATCGTGTTAGTTGTTACCATGGGATCTATAAGTTAACGGAAACGCTGCTTTATTTGAAAAAAAAAAAAAATACAAGCGATTTGAGAATCGAAAAAATAGTTTTTATTTCCAAAGTAAGCTAGACATTTTACAAAATTTTAGGTACACATAGGTATGGCATCACAGACACGCTTTGCCTTTGATTTAAGAGCTATAAAAGGTCGAGTCTTCATGCTACAATCTCCAATTTCGAGATTTTATATAAATTCGTTTTGAAGTTGTTACATTATTAAACGACTTTTGAGTTCAACGATATTTATCCATTTTTCGTTCTTTAGCCAAAGTCTAAAATCGCTATATAGGTAACTAAGTAATTCCAAATGATTTGTAGACATTCTTTCCTTGAACGAAACTCGGGCCTTTTCAAGGCAAGAGTGAATAGGCATTATATAGGATGCTCCATCGTCGACCTCATCGTCACTACACATCAGAAGAGATGAAGGTCAAATACACGCCTTTCTTTTTCTTGAAGAAAAAACACAAAGTCGAAGTAGATAAAAATCTATCTCATAAAATATAAATAATTTTGCAATTTCCTTTGTCTGTGTTGCACTTTCCTTTTAGTTTGTTTACATCAGATCAAAATCTAAGCCAAGAAACTCGACATAATTCTTGGGCATTAATATGGCTACCTACGTTTCCATAATCACTACCTAAGGCTATTGATGTATTTCATGAGATTAAAAACGACTATCACTCCCATGATGTCAGTGTATCCTTCGTGGTTCGTGTTCGGTGATGAATTGCAGAGATTGCTTTTGCAATAACAGTATCTGAAAGAAGAAAGATATTTTGAAACGGTCAATTATGAAACACTCACACACATCCTTTATAAAGCTAACCAATTTGTATTGAATTAAAAATGGAATGAAATCTAATCTAATATAATAATATGATAGCAATATCATATCATTATTACAAAATAATGTAATATAATAAAATAATGTACAATTTTTCCAAAAATGTTAAACAATATTCTCTTTGATTTGACGTTATTATTTTAACAGTAACAATGCTTTTATCGGTTACCTGCGAGACAGACTTTACTTACTGCAGGAATCATAGGAAATTCTCTGTACGCGATATATGCTATAATTGCTTTGTGTTGCCTGGTTCTTTGTCGTAATTTAAAATGTAATGTACCTACACAATTGTAAATAAATCATTTTGTAATGTTTTTGTATACCCATAGACCAATAACACAAGAGGACTGCTGCGCGATACAAGACAGCGTAGTCGGGTATTTAGTACCTATTGGTACACCAGATGTTGCGACGAGTATCAAATAGTAGTAGAGCTCCTTGTGAAAGAGTTCGTACAGGGAAGTACTGCAACCATACCTGTTTCTGACGCCAAGCAGTAATGTTAGCATTAATGTCGTTCCGGTTTAGGAGCGTAAAGGTGCTGGTGAAATTACAGGCACATGGGACTTGCCAACTTATGTGTCAGGGTGATGGGCACAGTGGCAGTGCCCATGACATCTTTGCGATGTAAAGCTCTGAATGGCACTGCAACTGTTATGGCCAGGCGTGTACGACAACCATCAGGCGCACGACTTGTTCGTCCCGTCACTTGATATTATAAAAAATAAAGCTATTTTTGTAACTTAATTTGTTTTACATTGCCGAGCTACAATTTATCAAACCTACTCTAATTTGTAGTGATTGATACCACATAAACAAATCAACTAAATGGCGCTTATTACACAGATTTTTATGGATAGTCCGGCTATTTTTGTATTTTGTTGAGGATTAACGCCATCTACCTATATAAGAAGCGTTCATTTATAAATTAGTTTACACAATTCCATCTATTCACACGCATATTTGTCAAAGTTCACAAAATAACTTTAGCTCGCAATCAATGTTTGAAATATATTACAAGGAAAAAACTAAACTTCATAAATTTCATACTAAAGATTGATATCCACGGCCATTTCATAAAATAAATTATTTCCAGGCTACTGATCAGCGCCATCTAGATATAAGACGGGAAAGTATGACCTTTTTCAGATTTACGATATATAATATAGAGATTAGCAGTCCTCTTGAGATTATAAGTCCAGGATTATAACTATTAATATAAATGGATACTCGCGTCACAAATGACGTAAAAGCCATGTGACGTCTGTTTATTTACCAGGATAGTCTACAGACTACCCAAAACGACTTTTTTTATTATAATATCAATTCACGGGGCGAACAAGTCGTACGCCTGACGGCAAGCTACACGCCTATCCTTAACAATTGCAGTTCCGCTCAGAGTTTTAAATCGCAAAGACCTAAGGGGCATTGCCACTGCGTCCGACAGCCTGAGATCATAAGTTGACAAGTCCCATGTGTCTGTAATATCACCAGCACCCTTACCCTTCAAACCGGAACGCAGTAATGCTAACGTGACTGCTTGGCGGCAGAAATAGGTTAGGGTGGCAGTACTTCCCGGGACGAACTCTTTCACAAGGAGCTCTACTGCTACTAGAACTACTGCTACTACTCGCAGCAGCACAATTATTTGGCCTCATTGAATTGATCTAACCAGTTAGTACATTGGTTGGTGTCGGGTTTGTTTTTTAATTAGTACTTAATTATCACTTCCTTTAGATAGGATAGGATGAAGGAATATATCCTGATGAAAAATTTCTTGTTAGAGAAGTTTGCGACCGAATATGTGTGAAGCCTCCAACCTGGTTTAACGCAGGTTAGAATCTAAGGCTTAACTCACATTGGCGCAGAGTCGAAGCGTCGCGTTGCGTCCTGTTTTTCAACTACGCATGGCGACACGCGTCGTCGTGTGACGACTCTCGCATTAGCGCGTCCGGATCACAATGCTGAACCAGTTCAGAGACTTTTGAACATTCACTGCGCGCAAGTATCGCACGGCGACGCGCCAGTGTGAGTTGAGTCTAAAACCCTCTTAGAACCTGGTGACGTATAAAAGTTGATGATATACCTAGTAGGCGTAGTCCTCTCTCCCTTATCGTCGACATCTTCGCAACCCTCTCTATAGGGCTCCATGATCTCGATCTTGGGCGACCATTGCCCATTCTCAAGGTCCTGGTACTCGTATTTTTGTAACGCGCAGTCCCGCAGAGTTCCGTCTATGCGATCTGTAATAATTTTATTGGATTCATTAAAATATTGTTCATCCTTGACTCATTATATTGCACTGAATTTGTCTGTTGTATTTAAAGGGTCTCCACGGAACCGTGGATTAGTAAAAAGTTCTCACAAACATTTAACTTCGCTTGTAATTTGTTTAGATTTATCAATTTAGCGTTAGTATGTAACATTGACAAGCTAAATATGTATGTATAATTTAGTAGCCATAGTTTAAATTCAACGCTACGTAACAATTCTGCCAATAATACTGTATTTAGATACTTCTAATGTACTAAGTATTGAATACGTCACTCAATTAGCAGTACCTAAATAACTTGACTTTGTTGCCGCCCACACTTTCAATGGATGATTTTCGGCAAGTAATCTCTAGGCTTAGAAATAGCATCTATTTTTGCTTAAGTGTGTTATCTATTGCGTTATATTAGTTTTTCAATTTTATAAAAGTCAAGTGCACACATTTTTGTACGCAAATTTGTTTTGCTAGCTTCTTAATAACACCTATTAGCATTGTTGTACTAAAGGAGAATGTTGCTAGCATTTTTAGAAACTCCAGCAAGGACTAAATTTAATCGAGTTTACAACTTACAATATGAACTACCTTGATTCAGTTTTTCTTTTGTTTTTCGTATGTTACCCAATTTTTTTTATATTAAATTACACTCCTTCGGCGCATCAAAGTGGGCTTTCCTTGCTCAAACACAAATTTAATTACTTACCTCCATTCTGTATATCGAGATGAAAATCCTGTTTAACACACATAGTAGAGTAGGGACAGTCGACAATGAAGTCATCGGAGTAGTCGAAGTTCTGACACAGACGCTTGGTTGTGTTGTAGTACTGCCCCGGAGGCGGGTTGATGAAGCATTGGTAGCACTGTAGCGAAGACACACCTAAAATTGTTAAAAAACAATATTCTTATTACAAATGTTGAATTAATTTTAAATTTGTTTGTCTCATAGCTTTTAATGCACTAAAAAAAAAGCATTTAAATAATACAGCATTGAAGGTAATGTTTCTAATGAGAAATAACCTGTTTGGATAACTATCTTTTTTTATCAAATAAAATCAAAAAGAAGACATCTCTAAATTGAGTTAATAAGTACCTTGTATATTACTTTTGATTTGGGTTAGGTCGGTAGTTTTCTGCTATTTATATCCTAGATGCAATGCATACTGTAGGTAATGCGAATCAATCCCAATTCTTCAACTTGCAAGCCAACTTGCTGATGAAAAAAAGTGAATTAACGTTTTTTTATTTAATGCGAACTTATAGCAAATGCACCAGCAAGTTGGCATAGCGGCTATTTCTACTATCTAGTACTTGCCAATACTGTTGCAATACTATTACTACTATTACATTGTATTTCATTTAGACGTAAAGTATCAATTAATTTGTTATAAGGCTAATTCTCATATTAGTTTGCTGTATCTAATTTCAGTGACAATTTTTATTGAAATATTAGAGAATAATATCATGAAGTATTACTTAATATTCGAGTGTGGTAATCCTGAAATATTATTAAATATTTCATGATAATATACTTAAATAATTATTTAATAACAATTATTTAAGTATATAAGTATTCGATTCGAATGAATATTTAAAAAATTGCATGATTTAATTCCGCCTTCCCCTTTTCATCATCGGGGGACTTCACGTAGGCTGGGGTTCCACCCTTATGTTGTGAATATTCCTAGGATTCGCACGAAGCGTTACGCTTCCACATTTATACGTCGAGCGGGTAGGGAGCGGAATTCTCTGCCTGTGGACGTATTCCTCGAACGTTATAACTTGGACCCTGAAAGGGTCGTAAAGGTAAATAGGTATTATTTAGGTGCGCATGCATGAACACGTCGCCACTTTCCATCAGGTGAGATGGAGGTCAAATGCGCACTTATTTTTGTATAAAATAATTATAATAAGTAGGTATTGACGCCGAAATTAGATAGACGAAACTACTTTGAAAATTACCCAAGAAATTTTTTTAAATGTGAAAATAGTGTATTTATTTATTCTCATAAACATTTGCTGCGCAACGACCAATTTTGTTACCTTTTTGGCCTTCTCATTAAAAATGGACTTTTGCTTATTTAGATATGCTCTTCGTTATATATGATTATTGTAATGTTTGCACATGTTACACCATCATAAATACACTTCATCGTTTCTACTAACTTCTATCTACGAGTACCTATTAGGTTTTGTCCGCTAGACACACGAAGATTATATTTCTTTAGCAAATGCGCAGTACCCTTGTTAACGCAGTTTCGTCAATATTTACAACGCATGACGTTTAGCATCATATATACATTTTTAAATGAATAAATAAATATTAGACAACATCACTTACGTCGCTGCGATCCCAAAGTAAGTAACCAAAGCACTTGTGTTATGGAAATCGGAAACAACGACGTTACCACAAACACTCAGACCCGAGACAATATGGAAAAGTTAGCTTTTCTACATTGAGTCGGCCGGGGTTCGAACCCTGGGACCTCATAGACGACGACACCATGAAAACCGGTGTTCAAGCCACAAGACCACAGATACCGTCAATTTTCAATTTATTGATTTTTATTGAATATCACGATGTTTACTACTCATTTATTTTTGTTTATTTATTTATTTAAGTATTATATGGACAACATGAATTACAATCAATTTATATTGACAAGAATTAATTATGATAATAATATATCGATGCCTTACTTTCTTAAACTCGTATCGTATAAAGAGTGATTGTTCAGAAGATGGCAAAACTTACTATTTATTTTAAATTTCTTGTCAACGGTGTTAATTTGGATGCATTACTTTAAGAATAGGTAAGAGCCAATGTGTGAATATGAAGGAAATGTGATGAGAAATCAGCATGCAAAATTTGTATATACAATGCATTTTTTGCATTTCATTTACTTTGTGCTTTACAATACGAGTTTGAGAAAGTAAGGCGACGTCATGACAAAGTTCTGTACCAGATTGGATTCCTACTTACGTTGACACATCATTGTAAAGTAACAAGAAAGATCTATTGTTCATAATTTGCCAATAATTTACTTATTTAGGAATAATTTACTTATTTTACTTACTTAGGTATTTAAGTGCTAGGTGAGTTACTACTTTTTTAAATATTCTGGATCTTGAGTCAATAATATCCAAATCGGAGTTTTTCATACATATCCCGTTGTAAAGGTGACACATTCTTATCAGGGGATTATAAAAGAAAGTGTTATACGTTCGTAAGTAAAAATTATTGTGAAATTACTCCAATAGTTTAATGTAATTTATTAATACAAAGATTGAACACAAACAAAAATTTCTTCGATCTGACAGGACTCGAACTCGCGTCTGTATGCCAAGCTAGCCCAACAACAACAACAAACAAACCGCTCTGTCAACTGAGCTACAGATTGAGTCAGCAGAGTACGAATTTCTCTGTTTGTTTCAGATTTTTTGTATTGGGTTTTTTCGGCTTTATCGCCGTAAACGACACCTGTGAGAGATCTATAAGAAGTTTACTTAACAGGTACCAGAGACTGATGTGAGATGTCGCTGTCTTAATTGTAATATTGATTTTTTTTTCTTGTTTGGTTGTTTTGATTGTTTTACTCGCGTCAAGTAGTTGTTTTTAGTGATTGGATCAATTTTATAAAGACCAAGGTGGTAAAATTGCCAACTCCATGCTTTAAAAATCTTCTTAGGTGCAGTCAATATCACGCGAATAGCTGAGATCAAGTACTTCACATTAAATTCCACTCTACGCCACTTAGAATAAGATTATCTAAGGTACTTTTGAATGTTCGTGTACGTAATTTTTTTTACAACCATTGATTCTTATTTGAAATTTTAATATAAGCTACCGATAAGTATCCCTTCGAAGTTTTTAGCATTTTTTAATTTTACAAAGTAATCTTGTACCGTTTTTACATTACAAAATGTTTCCACTAAAGGTACTATAGATATATTTTAGCTTCACTGATACAAAAGAATATACTCTGGTGAATCATGTTGCGTGCGGTAAGGCTCCCACGCAGATTTAATTAATGTATGCTGAGTTGAATGAGCAGTAAAAGAGCCTTGTCCTACACTCATGGTTTCTTATGTCCTGTTTAACATGGCTAATATCAAGGCTCGGAAATTATTATGCCTTATGGATTATTAATGGTATACGTTATAAATTACTTGACGACCTCGGTGATCCAACGGTTTACACGTGTGGATGCTGAACGAGGGTACTGGATGACAAAAATCTATGGCTGTGGCCCGTTTGGTTCTTTCAGGTTGTCTTGATCAATATTGTAAATGATTCTTCACAAACATAACTCGTACATAAATAGATTATGTACCAGTAATTTTTCCTTTGTTCATTATATTGGTTTTGTAACAGGAACAATAATTCCTGCTACATTACCTGGTTTTGTAGTAGGAATAACTTTTCCTCTTACAATGCTGGTAATGTAAATTGGTTATGTACGGGAAACAATTCAATTCCAATCCAATTCTTCTTCATCTTTGTCTTTTAGCTTAGTTCCCTTTCTGGATTTCGGCAGTATTGAGTTTGGGCTTAAGAATTTTAGAAGCTATTGTAAATTCTGTTATAATAATATGAGAAAGTACAAGCTTATTCACAACAAAACTACAAATATTTCTTTACAAAGAGTAATTCTTAGAATTTTTTACTCATTTTTCACAGGAAACCTGCCTTACAAATAAGTAGTAGTGTTTAATGCATGTGACGGTTTCAACGGTAATGAAATAAAAATATGTTTGAATTAGGTCTCGGTTGCCGGTAGGAGCAATTTTGCAAATGATTTTTTCTAAATTGGTTTTGATTTGGGTATACTGGATGAATTCAATAGTACTCATAGTACAGGGAAAGTTCAATACTGGGTAATTGGTATGCTTGTGTTGAACTTATTATTATAAGTATTATTACCATTTTCATAGACTGCTTTTTTTCAATTTAATTTAAGACATAATTATAAAAAAACCGACCTCAAAAGTTGCCAAGTTTTATGAAGCCTATTAACGGAAAATGAGTGAAAGCTAATGAATCCGGATTCATTCCCTACTTTGCCACCCTTAGAGATCGAATATTTTTTTCAAATATGAATGGGACCGCTACTGAGTACCCCTTTCTATAAAAAAAGAATTATCGAAATCGGTTCACAAATGTCGGAGTAATGTACATAAAAAAATACAGTCGTACTGAGAACCTCATCCTTAGGCAACTGATTGAAATCCGTTGACAGCCGTAAAACGAAGATCGCCGAGGGACTTTAAGAAAATAATTATACTGTATTATTTTAACTACACTGTATTCTTAAAAACTCTTTAAAAAAATACTTGTGTATCAACTACGGAACGTAGTTAGTTTAGGCGAGGTCTAAATTTTGAAATGCGAGCTGTTACCAAGTCGTCCTTTGTAGACTTTTTTAGTTGAAAAGGAGTTCTTTATGGGACAGTAAAACGTAATTAACCAATTTTAAATTACTAAATTGCACAATCGGGTAGTTTTGGAAAATATAATTTCTAGTAAGCTACGTCGCTTTAATTTATGTATGTACATTGTTAGATCAAAATATGTATATAATAAGGACTTGGATTTTGTTGCTATTCGTGCAGAAGTGCTGCAGTGCAAGTATAGAGTATATGCTAGGCACTGATGACACTGAGGAATTATACGAGGAACGCGATGAAATAGCTGAAAATAATGATGCAAACGTGGATGCGCGGAGGAACGTCGAAGACAGCGAGGGAGAAGATTCCAGCTTTGGAGATATAGTTTTTGCTGATGCTTCTGATACTGACTACTACGATGATTCAAAAGTAACCCGAAACTCTAACAGTACCACCGATGAGGTCTATACTGATATTACTTCTAACCATAGTCAAATTGACGTAATAGTAACAGAACACACGACAAGAGTGTCACTACGCCCGGAAGAAGTATTTTTTGAATATCATTACGATTATTACGAATCCGATTCTCCCCGTTATGATCCACGTGGCACTAAAAAAATGCACACAACATCAAAGTACCAGCCCTCAGTAACTAATAAAACATTTGACACATTTAGTGAACTCTTCAACTTAGAGTCTGTAGCCGAGAACCTACTTTTCAATACAACGGATGAACCATTTCAAGATACTTGGTACGTTATCGAAGATTATCCGTGCTGGAAATTGCCTCTGGTATTTGGAGAGATTGGTCAAACTGCATCACATTTTGAGCCCGAAACACTAAAAAGAAGGTCACCTGTATTTCAGATGTATCCAAAATGTCTTAAAAACGTTATAACTGGTAATGATACTGTCGAGAAACTGACACCTAGACAGAATAATATTCAATACAATGTTAACAAATGGTGTCGCGTTGCGCCTTGCTATGGCGATCATACCATGTGTATGTTCCCAAAAGGGGTAACCAGTGCTTTTTGTGGCCGAGGATATACAGTCTCAGTGCCACCTGTCAATGAACAAATAGCTTTCATATTCTCACTAAACTCTATACGAAATGCGGTAGCTAGTGGAGATAAAAGCCACTTACATCCGCAAATACCACGTGTGATGGGTGCTACAAACATGAAGAAAATTTTATATGATCACGAACTGCAGCTCATGGCAGAGAGATGGCTACTACAGTGCTTGCCGGGACCTTCCCCGTGTAGCTCACTTGACAATGCATTCGTCACTCAATTAGAATGTACCAAATTAACTACTCATTGCTGTACAGAGAAGCATGTTGTAACCCAATGGTATAATAAGTCTTATATTATTTTTTTTCCCTTCCCTTTTCAGTTGTAAATAAATAATCTTTTATTCTTTCAGCTCTCCTAAGGCAGAATGCTTCGTGAAACCTCTCATAGGGTGCCTTCACGAGTGGTTTTGGAAAACAGAACGGAGAATTAGTAAAATGAATATAAATTGTGGATATATTGAATCAAATACATTCAGCACAGTCCAACTACTTTGGGCGAAGACACAAAAAGTGGGTTGTGCTTATGGTAATCTAGGGAACGGCGACGTCAGGGTTATCTGTAACTTTTCTCCCGGTGCACCCTTTTACCTTGAAGTGAAATATTTATGCGGCATTATATCCCAAGCCGACAATAGACCACTTTTACCTAAAGGAAATATTACTGATATAGAATACTTAGCCCGTTTAGGTTTCATTCTGCAACGAGAACAAAGTAAACACAATCTCAATTATGTTGCACATCACACTGATGCTCTTGTACAGTTTTTAGATAAGTTTAGTAGTACTACAAAAGCGTGGGGCGTCGTTGCTTTACCAAGTTTATATAAGGAAGGGTGGATACGGAAACAGTTACACATGGTCGAAAATGGTACCAAAGGATTGGTAGCCCGCTTAGTAACTCAATATACATTTAAAGAGAATTCGTTGGCCAGATGTGATTCAGAGGAGCCAATTTTTGAAATCGGTCCTCCAGGTTCAAAGTGTAAAGAGACGGGACACAGACATTATGCTCTGTGTTACGACTTCATAGATGTGGTCCCAGGTTACCGCATGATCGCCTTACTAGCTTCAATACCTCTTTTCACCCTCATTTTGTACGATCTATTTAGTACGTCTATGAAACAAACTAATTAAGAGCTAAAAATTGGTTGTTTAAGTAAATTTTAATTTGAATAACAAGACATTGCTATACAACGTCTTAATTTTCTGTCACAGCTTCTTCAGTACTTCGTTAAGGGAAATCGGCAGGCTTTTGTAAAACCGTTACATTTGCCACTACACCATTTCTATTAGTAGTACAAAAGCATATCGCTTAAAGGCTTTGTTTTATCGCTAACACTCCGTATCGTATTCCACGTGACAGTTTTGACATTTCCTAAAAGTCTTATTTCATCGCACTTATCAGCAAAATCTATTCATTAGTATAAATGCACTTAACGACAATGAAATGAAGAAGAAATAAAGTACTTTTTTCTTCAGCTACCTCAAATGATATCACAATAGAAAAAAAAGAGACAACGAAATAAAAAATTGGAATGTAGGGGAAAATAAATTTGGAAAATAAAATCGCAAACAAAACAAAAATTAAATTAAAAAACAAATAATAAATGAAACATTTTTTTCTGATCTAAATTGTGTATTTCAAACAAACCACCGTTACGGGTCCTTGCAGGTCCCGTGGTCACGGTTGTACTCAAGAGACACTGAAGTCAACCGCCACCTTGGGACCTGTAAATGGCTCGAAATGTTGGTTTGTTTGAAAAAACAAATATACGCGATTTAGATACGAAAAAATAGTTTCATTTGTCGAACTTGATAAATAACCAAGTAACACCCAAGTTACTGTTATTAGAGTAACGTAAAGAAAGTGCAAGTTGCCGTGACCGTTCAAGTTATTGCTTCCCGTTTGTAATCGCTTACCGGTAACTAGAGCTGGAATGTGTATTTTTTCAATTATTATTAGAAAATTTCACTTTTTAATTGCACATTCTATAGCCGTTAATCTACTAATTATATCAAAAGTGGCAATGTGTGAAAACCTAGTACTGTTCCGATTTTATCAAAATGTGTCATCATCATCAACCAATTTATACACCCCACTGTTAGGCACGGATCTCTTTTCAGACGAGGGTTTTTAGGTCATGGTCCGTCACGCTAGCCCAATGTGGGTTGGGGACTAAACACGTTTTCCGAGAGTTGTTCACCTTCTTCGATGCATTTTTCATCACGATGTTTTTTTTAAGATTTTCAAATTTCAATTAGTTCATATTTCTTAATAACAGTAACCTATGAGGTAAATTAGTAGAAACAAATGGTATACAGGTTGGCTTATGCAAAACGTTTAAGATTTTCAAATTTCAATTAGGTCATATTTCTTAATAACAGGAACCTATGAGGTAAATTAGTGGAAACAAAGAGTACTATACAGTTGGCCCGGAAGTGATGGTCAACACGAAATGAGGATAGCGTTGAGTATTTCGAATAGATTTGACTACTACATTGGGACCCGGAAATTGATGGTTCAAAAGTTATTCAACTTTTTTGTGTTTTTTGGAAAAATCACTAAGTGCATCCCTAAAAATATTTGAAATAATTAATCATTCCTCCTCATTACGCTTTGACCATAACTTCCGGAATACCTTGTATTTGCACTCTCGGGCACATAATTCCATCCACCTTGCATTTTCAGTATTAAATGACCTGAGCTGAACCAATACTTGTTGTATAAAAAACGATTACATAATTTTGAAACTGCTACCTATACAAAATGTTATATAAGTCCTTGTTGAAAATATGTATTTGTTAAACCGGAGAAAGCCTATTCTTCGATGCATTTTTGTATAATTTTTATTGTCATAAGTTTGTGGCAAAGGTAATAGATGATATTAAGACGAAAAGGATAATATTATGCTACTGGTTCTCCCCAAATTGCTTACCTTTTAACATTGATCCTTATTTTTTGATAAGTTTGTGACAAAGATAATAGTAAAACATTCTATAACTATTTTGCTGATAATAATATGAAAGTGAATAGGCATTATTTAGGTGTGCAGCTATACACAAAATAGGCGCCTCTCAGACGTCGATTTGCGGAAACTAGCCCGTTGCACCAAGTACCAAGTAGGTGTGCAGCTTGCGCTTTATGTCGCTCTCGCGCTAGTCGCGCTCTGTCGTACTCGCCCTATAGGTGTATTCGAGGCAAATTAAAGTTTAAACCTTTTCTATCATTAAAAAAATCAATCACTATATCGTCGAGTATAAATAAAATGAAAAATCTGGATTATGAAATTCCATTTCGGTAATTTACTGGCCAAATCAAGTCCGCGTAAATGTTATGGCAACAAAATTAGCATTGTTTAAGGGAATCTACTGTTATCAGTCCGTAGACAACATTAATTAATGCTTGCTGTGCAAAAGTTAAAGTCGTAGCCATTGAAATAACGAAGTAAAAACGTTAAATTCCTCTCCTGTAAAATTTGGTTTAATTTAGAAACGCGCCTTTTTTCAGACATACGCCGATTTGCGCCATCTCCGACAGTATATAAGTAATATTTCTAAGTTTTATGATTATAATGTTAATTTCTTGAAGTAATTACTTTTTTATAGAAGAATAAGTGCGCAATTTTACATCCATTTCACCTCATGGAAAGTGACGACGAAGCATGCATGCACACTTTAAATCATAGTTTCTGCTGAAGAATTCTAGGTAGGTCTATACCTAGCTATGTAGGGGCCTCAGAATTGCAATTGTAAGGTGCTAGTACTGTCCAGGGTGTGCTACCGCTTTTGAAAAAAAAACCCGAAATATCTAATAAACTACACTACAAATACATTTTTTTTCCTAGTGATTTTTTGTGTTGAGCTAATATAAATAATACGTGTTTTCAATAATTTTTAATGGGCGCTGAAATTTTTTTATCTTGCCTATGTAGGCGGTGACCCAAAAAGTTTGGGAGCCTGTGCTTTAAATAGTGCCTATTCACTCTCGTCTTGAAGAGGCCCAAGTTATAGCGTTCAGAGAATAAGTCTGCAGTCAGGAAATTCCACTCCATAGCCGTTCGCATTTTAAATATGGAAGTGTTAAGCTTCGTGCATATTTTTGGAATATCCACAACATTCTACAAATATTATGATAGGGTTATCTAGATCTAGATTTATAATAAGGTAAACCCTGAAACCTGATCAAGAAACGTCCTTTAAAACTTGAAAAATCCTTCATTTCTATACGTGAATATTATAAAGAAATGTTCAGATGTAGCCACAACAGAGAAGACCTTGTGCCCAGTTGCGGCTCCACAAATAACTACTATAACAAGTAATACAAACCTGTATCTAGGAATGGCAGTATCGCTGCAAGTGCTAGAAAACATGGCTCCATACTTTGACAGTTACTGGTTAGTTTTCACAATTTCCGTTTTTGCTTCGTTGTCTCGCTTTCAATAATCTGTGAACAATACAGTTGTATTGGTTAGGTAATTTTAATTTGCAAAATAACTTTGAACTTACAAACATGTCGCTGTTTTAAAATATTTGATAATACTATGTAACAAATTTTCAAAAAGGTTCTATTTTTATTTTGACAGTATTTGTATCTGTTAAATTGAGAAGTATGTACAAAAGAATAGATATAATTTTGCGTTTGTAGCCGTCACAGTGGTATTCACATAGTAGTATTTACATAATCTCCCATGAGTACACATTTGTAGATTTTTAATTGAAATATGCGATTGATTTGAAATGTAATATATATTAATAACGCACACACTCATAACCCCGCACTAGGGAAACCCTGAGTCGCGGGCATACACATAGACACACAAATCACACCCAAACTCACGAGAGAAATAAATGTAAGCCATATAAATATTTCTCCTGACCCGGGAATCGAACACAGGAACTCTGCGTTACAGACCAGCACGGTAACCGTTCGGTCACGGAGGCAGTTAATGAATGTTTCCTTCTTGTCTTTATATAAAGACAAACCCGAAAATTAAAGTTTTTCTCATGTTTTTATGATAGAACTAATTGGAAAATAATGTTGATAACCCAGTACCAAAAATCATGTTATATTGTATAATTGCTATAAACAGAGTTAGTGGAGTTCAGTAATCTCTGTTTATTGTTATTTTCGCTACAGTGCATTGAACTTCGATGAATCGGTATTAACCGAAACTACTTTTTAAGTCCATTGCTCTACATTATATTGTTTATAAGATGCTCTAAATGTTATGGTTCATGGAAATTGATAACTCTTTCTTAACAACTTTATAAGTTATTGTCAACTTGAGATCGAATAAAACAATTACAGAAATGGATTACGTTTTACGAAGACACAGTAGATTTTGATTTCCGTAATCCACCCTGGAAATTGAAACTTATCTTTGTTTCAGAAGTAATTTTACTCTGAAAATCGTTACATTGATTGAACTCTACTACTCATTCGTAAATAGAATTCCCTTGAAAAGAATGAGTAAGAACCTCCCTAGAGTTGACCTTTGTGCTATATTTGCACACATTTATTGTTTACACATTTGCAATATTTATTAGATCGCTACTACCTAATAGAGCTAAACGGGTCACTGCCATGAATTTTTGTCTTCAAAAATAGTAATATATATAACATATAATAGTAGTAATATAATATATAATAGTAAATAAAAAGTGTGTCACTATAGTTTCCAAATGGAAATGAACAATTTTTTCGGATCTAAATCGCTTATATTTAAAACATAAACGTTTCGGGCCCTTTAGAGTTCCCGTGGTCGCGACTGATATGATAAAGTCATCAACCAGTTATGTCTAATATTAAGGCGGTTTGCATTTATATTAAATTACCTACATATTAAATTAACTAGCAAGCAAATTTTGAATGTCAATCAGAGTTTTTAATCTGTTTCAACACTACGTATAGGACCCCTAGTACTACTATTGTTTGTCAAATAGATCTCATCAGCGCCTAATCGATGACCTTCGTGATGAGTGGCTTGCACACGGGTTTTAATGGTCACCATCTCTCGGTGTCCCGTATACTATCCCCGGCCAGGTCGATATAGAAACTAACTTTTTATATTGTCTCGGGTCTGGGTGCTGGTGGTACCGTCGTTGTTTTCGATTTCCATAACACAAATACTTTTGATGCAAGATGTCTAATATTTGTTGTCTAATATTGCACAAAACAATACCCAGCAATCGAGTAATATAGCACCTTCCAAACCTACTATCGATATCTAAATGGATTTCAAAGTCGTTGTTGTAACATGTGTTCCATAATTATTGTGTACCGGCGCAGGCACAGTCGTGTTCTGTCAAGGTCCTAAAAACTCGTTCGCTCCCTTTCTCCGGTCAACTGGGTTTAGTTTTAAAGCAATATCGACTTATAAACGAGGGTTGTATTTAAACGTTTCCGCTTTCAAAACTGCTTTAAGATTTTATTTCATTGATAAGGTTTGACTGAGCGAGATTTTTTTTTGCCTGAACCTGGTCCTGTCAGGTGTCCACTTTGAATCAAGTCAGGTGCTGTGTCTATTTTAGTCTATACAGGTGTAACAAAAAGTTCGCGTATGTTTCATCTGATACTTAGAATGTGATGAAGATTTCCATAATATTGACCTTAGAACTAAGTCCAAACTCATGGTACCACGTTTCCGTTTAACTAAGGTAAACGATTTATGGGGAACTGTATACGTTTTTACAATAAAATTCCGGAGCATATATTAAGTTTACCTTTTCCTAAGTTTAAAACTTACTTTAAAAGTGTTTTAATTGAAAAATCATATTACAAAATTGTAGACTACGTGTTAGATAAAGGTGTATGGAAAGACAACGTGAGTCAAGATTCCGCCACAAATATGATTCAAAATGTATTCTATAGCATCTAACTTTATTTGAAAAGAGCAGTCCCTAGAGTTAGTTTCTTGCTTGTTCTTCTCAGTGAGGTCAGCGTAGTGAACGAGCTGTAGCTTAAAAAAATGACGTTTTCAAGTGTAAAAATTTTACCTATGGAATAAATGATTATTTGACTTTGACTGGTAACTTTAGCAAAAATGAAAATGTACATTTTACGAAAAATAAGTGAAGTACTATTTTTAGGGATCTTACATTTTTCGAACATTTGGGGGTTTTATATTTCACTACTTCTCTTCTTAATCAAGAACAGTGGCCCTACTCTCGAAGCACGAAATTCGTAGTTACTGCAGCTGTTTTTGCATTATGGATAACCTACGGAACTACTCCCGAAGTCCGTCAACGAAAAGACAGACCCGTTCGAAACTGTCAAATCGCGTTGTCATACATTCTTAGTTTAGTCCCAATCGAAACGCAAGTATTTAGGTCATATAGTGCCCCAGCGTCCTGATTTTGATTCAATTTGGAATCGATCCGATCGGGCAGTCTCGAAATCAGACGGGTTCCTGAGCGAGAAGGTGAACCTGATTCCTACCTATCTTTCTAATTTGTGAGTTAAATCAACTATTGTTCCTATTAGAAATGTCGGCCAGCTGTGAATCGCAATTATGCGCCTCGACTCGGAAAAGACGCAGTTTCCGAACGGGAGAGGCGATCAAAATCAAGCTGCTGAACAAGAACCTGACTAAGTGGCGAACATGTCACAATTTGGGATCCAATACGTTCTCTAAGGAAAAATGCCAAGCCGAGATTGAAATATTACTTATTTATCATATTTTATTTTGTTATAGGAAATGAAAGTATTTTTCCGGATTAAAATCGCGTATATTTGTTTTTTTTTTTTCAAAACTTTCAAGCCCTTTACAGGTCCTATGGTCACAGTTGACATGGGACCCGTAAAGGGCCTGAAACGTGGATTTGTTTGAAAAAACAAATATACGCGATTTAAATCCGGAAAAATAGTTTCATTTCCTATGTGTAACAATCGCGAAAACCTAAGAACTCGATATTTTATTTTGTTTTCTAATATCCTATTAAGTAAAAATTCCTATTATATTTAGAAAACGTATGTATGGTAAATTGGAATGTTCTTCGGTAAATAAAAAATTAAGTTCTTATATATTTTTTTATAACTATAGTGCAGAATAGCATTAATATTAGATACAACTGATTGATATCTTTACCATCTTAGCCAACCGTCCTCACGGAATAACGAAAAAGTGGACCGTGACCGTTGGACCTGTAAAGGACCCAAAACTTTGGTTTGTTTGAAAAACCAAATATACGCGATTAAGATCCAAAAAACAGTGTCAGTTACAATGTGTAGCAATCGCGAAAGCTTAAGAACTCGAAATGTCACGTAATTAGTAATTTTATATTAAATTCCAATGGTAGATACAATATTATATGAAACGAAGATTGGGGAAAAATAACTTTTTTATCTTTGGCTGTTGGCGCAAACCAGTTCCGTTTTGTGAAATGTCAACGTGTGTCTTTGTTGTTTGTGTACGCCCAGAAAAACTGTTGCGGAGACAGAAATAATATTTCATGTACGCCAATTTTTTATACAATACCTGCTGTCTACCACCTTGTATACCACAAGGTGTATTCGTTAAGTGTGCCCAGGTGATTATTCCATAAATATAAGAGATATCAAACAACTTTAAACTGATATCGTATGTACGTTACCTAAAGAGTAAATCGATCAATAACTTTTTTTAAATAAAACTACATACATCCAAAAGACATTCGAAGACAGACAGAAGAAGACATTCGTAGAGAGGCTTTAGTTTTTCTCCTGTAAGAGGTAACAATAAGTTAATAACAGGTAATAAAACTATAAATAAAGTAGTAAAACTTTAATTTTGTCTTCTAATTGAACAAAAATATAATGGCATAGACAATTATTTGGTCAAGTTTGAGTTGTCCATAAAAATGAATAAAAAAGATCACATTTTTTTTAGTGCTGATCGACTCAGTTTCATGTAAGAATCATTTCATTGTATGAGACGGAAAATATAGCAGCAGAAGTGGGTGAAATTTAATCAAATGTTTTTTTACACAAAATGAATAAATAATAGCCTCAATTATGTACAACTACTTTGTTTGGTTTTAATCAAAAATCTTTTTTAAAACCAAGAACTGACGAAATGGAAATCATTATTGTTTTAAGAAGTTTGACCTCTCTCTCAATTTGCAGTGATGAATGCAACGTTTCATCATCACTTTATATCAGTCGATGAAGTCAATATTCATTGGAATTCAAACGTCGGATCAATAACGTTTTATGTTCGATCATAACATCTCCTTGACTATCACGTTTCCTTGGACGTTAAGAGTTTCATTTTCTCTCATTGTTGCATTGTTTAGTTAACTAGGTATTTATAAAACCATTATTTAACGTTTAACGACTGATGCTACCATCGATGTTGTCTATTTGTAACTTAAAACCGTAAACAATTATCTATTCCGCTGTTTTACAATGAAAAGAAACACTGTATCAATACTTTGCAGTTGCACTTTGCTTTGTTGGGGAGAACG